ATTTGCTGTTATAAAAGCACATGATCATGTGTTTAATAAGAATAACTTGTTTTGTGAAATGAAGGAAACTGCAGGATGTTTGGTAAGGGAAAACTATTCTTGAACCAATCTTGGTTGGGTCAGGAAAATAACAGCTAATCATTTCCAGGATTCTAGTTGACATTGTCTCTTTTAGTCTTCATGGCATCCTGAATAGCCCTATAGGAATTATTCCCATGACTTATCCACAATCACGTGGTTATTAGTACAAAGATAATCTTGTCATTGAAGCCAGTTTTACTGGTTCTTATGTCCAAGAACATTTTAAAACTCCAAACAACCATCTGTTATAATTTTTTAAAATCATTTTTACTATCTAATTTTCTATTTTTATACTTTTGACAGAAAATTCACAAAAGATATAGTAAGAGCAAAGCAGAATCTGGCATTTTCTAGTCCCTCAAAATTTAAATTGTTTTTGAATCTCAGGATGCTTATGTTTGACTGGCACAGTTGGGCAAATGGCCAGTTACTGGTCACTATATTTATGCAAAACACTTAGTTATATAGAGATATTAAGTATACCCACTAAGTGTTCCAAACTGCCTGAATATTTTATATATATATTTCATTTGGTGTTTAATTCTGGTTTAATTATTGGGACCTTTTTTAAAAACTTTTCCAAATACATCACCAGAGAACTTAAAAAAGCAAGGACCATCTCCCTGTTCTTTGGAGTGAACATAGAAAACCAAAGCCAAGCTGGGATGTTCATTTACAGTAATAACCGCTTGATCAAAATGCATGAGAAAGTGGGACCACAGTTGAAGCTGAAGTCCTTGTAAGTATGTTCTTGTTTTCAGAGGCACATTCAGGAAGAGGGAGGCTGCAGTAAGCTTCTGTCTGTGGAGTTAGATGAGTGATTAATCATGATGGGAGCAGGTGTCAGAGCCTCCTTTCACCCTTCGCATCAATGTGCTGGCATTAATCTGCCTAATTTGTAATATTACTAGAGTTGCATGCCTTCTCTGAGGAGAAAGAAAACATAGTTTGGGGAAGTTTTTCAGTGCATTTCCTGAGCACTTTGATGTTTTTCCATTCCTTGCACCATCTATTCAGGTTAATTAATATTTTACCAATTTAAAAGCAATACGAGCATATTAAAGAAATTTTAGAAAAGAAAATGTCTTAGTTTTGTAAAGCAGCTCTGTTAACATGTATGAGTTGTTGCCAGTTACCCACATGACTCCATATTATTAAACTCTAGCCACTTTGGATTCCAGATTAATACAGTCTGGTGCTTCCCCCGGTCTGAAGTGCCACACACTGCTTTCATGAATTCAGTAGATTCCTGAAGAGGGACCATGGCGAAGCCCAGTTAGCCAGGATAACCATGATCAGTGGATTGAGTCAGGGCAATATTTCTTGTTTCCTTGTGCTTAAGGAATTATCCATTCATTCATTTGTTCATTCAGCAAGTACTTTATTACTATATCATATATCAGGCACTGTACTAGCTCTGAGATAAGATGGGCAAGAACTCTACCGCTCTTTGCTAACGAACATAGAGTTCAGTGAAAGGGTCAGGCACATATATAATATAATTTAAAACAGTAAGAATGATCTTTTAAAACATAAATTAGTTTATTTATTTACTTTTTTTTTTTTTTTTGAAACCAGTCCTTAGGCTATGATTGGTTAGCACAGCCGTCCAGTGACCTGATCAGTTCCAGGCTTGCGTCGCCCCTACCCTCTCACTGTTGTCCTCATACCAGCAGGTTTCCTGCTCCTCAGACATCCTGAGCCTATTCTTGTCTTAGGGCTTTGGCAATAGCCATCGCCTATGCCATTCCCTATGCCTTGACCCTTCTGTCCTGAGATCTTAGTACTGAGTTCTTGGCATGTCACTCAAGCGTCCAAATTCCCCCTCACAGGAAGGTCTTTCTGGACTAAATAAAATTAGCCCCTGACAGCAACCCCCACACATCACATATTATAGAGCCTGCTGTTTTCTTCATACAATTTCCTACCATTTGAAATCCCCCTTGATGCCTGTCACTCTTCAATAGAAGGATAAAAGGTAGACTTTTATCTTTCATGTTCATTACTCTATTCCTAATTACTGGAATAGAGCCAGGTATAAGCTTGATGAGTGAATAAATTGAGTGAATGAATATGTATTAAAGGCAAGCATCAGGTATATTTATTCTAGAAGGCCGATAAACCAAACTGGGTGATGTTACATCAGACTTCCTGGAGGAAATGATGTCCAGTGTAGAGTCATAGGATGACTAGTTTAGATAGTGTACCCCTGAAGAAAAAAATGAAAAGACTCTTAGGCTGGGAACTTCAGCCAGGAAGGCTTGATCCGTGTACCATACCAAGCGAGGTGGCCCCTAAACTCATAGATTCTGGGATGCTCTTTTCCAAGGCAGGCTATGTCATTAAGCAGAATATTCCAGCTGTGGACCTCATGAGTTGCAAAAGAATGTGTGGGAAAATTGAGTTACTAGCCATTAGGCTAGCAAACTAATGGCTTATTGGTTAATCCAGCCCATCCTTAATAGAAGTCACTGAGCACCCCACTGATCTCTGCAGTGATGAGGAGAAATCCTCACAAGTCCGGATGAAGAAGGGACTCTCTAGCCAGTTCATTAAGAGGATTATGTCAGTTATTTTGCAGGGTGTCATTAGTAATACCTTTAATGCTAAAAGGCCTCCTCTCCCACTCATTCTGACTCCCCATGTAAGATGACAGGCTTGGAGAGTCATATTAATTCAGTAATAAGGTATTAAAGTGAATTGTATTATGGAACCAATATCACCTGGGATCATCATACATTTTTTGTAATAAAATATGATTATAAGGTAGCTTTCAAACTTTGACATGAATGACTTTGTAGCTTTTAAAATGCTATCAAAAGGCCAGAGAATATTTAGTTTTGCTTTTCCTTAACTAAATTTTACAAATATTATGTATGTATTTATCCCCCTAGGCTCGGTGCTGGTGTGGTTGGAATTGTCAATATACCTTTGGAGGTCATGAAACCATCCCATAATAAGCAGGAATTTCTCAATGTGCAAGAGTATAGTCATCTACTAAAAGTCATGGGGCAGTATTTGGTCCAGTACTGCAAGGACACTGGGATAAGTGAGTATCTACTAGTCATAATAAGAGATGTTTAATGGGAGATCAACTTGTGTGATGTCTTTAAGTTGTAATGATTGCACTGATTTAGGTAACCAATAACCCAAAGCCCTGAAAAAGCCTCTGAATTAAAAACAATTTATAATAGCCAAGCTATGGAAACAACCTCTAAGTGTCAAAAGATACATGAGTGGATTAAGGAGATGTGGGATATATGTGCAATGGAATGCTTATTTAGCAATAAAAAAAGATAAAAACTTTTTACACTTTGCAACAGCATGAATGGAACTGGAAGGGATTATGCTAAGTGAAAACAGTCAAAAGGAGAAAGACAAATGTGGGATGGTTTTTATTATATGTGGAATATGGAATAACAAAACAAAGGGTCAGATAAAAACCAAACCAGTAGCAAATGCTGAATTCTGACTGTAGAATTGAGGCTACCAGAGGGGACGGAAGAAGAGGGAAAGGGAAGTGAGAATGTGGCACAGGGAACTATGGTGGAGGACTGTGGGTATCTTGGTGGTGGGTTTGGTGTGGTAGCAACACCTGTAGGGTGTGACCCTTCTGTATCATATACGATGTTGTAAACCATTGTTTCCTCAATTAAAAAGTAAAAGGAATGAGAAAGGAGGCAATCAGAATCTTTCAGAGAATATTACGTGAAAAATAAAGCTGTGGAGTAGAAATTCTGTAAGCTAAGGGGCTACCAGTCAGAAAGCAGTGGGAAGTGGCAGCTTGACCATGGAGGAAATAGACGAACATTTGCTCCAAACAGGCTAGGAAACTTGCTAACGACCTTCTAAGTGTCCACTGTGTGTAGACTTTATTGTGTAGGAACTCAGGGGCCCATGTGGACCCAGAATCATCATTGTTGACCCTGATATTGCAGATATGTTAATCCTTGTTTTTAATATCTGGTTAGTCTTATAGATACTAATTCCAGAAAGATCTTGTTTTTAAAAAATCACTAAAATAAATATGATGAGAACTTAACAAAATAAGCCAGTTACTAGGAAATTTCAGTTATCAAATCACTTCACTCTCCAGAGATAACCTGAACAATTAGGTGGTGTGCTGTGCAATATTAAATACACTGCCTTTAAATTTTGCAGACATAGGAATAGATGGGCCACTGTGTATTTGTTTAGAGATTTGCATCAAGTATGTGTGATTCATGCATAACAAAAATTATCTCTCTACCTTGAGAAAACTTAATCTCATCATTGCTCCACTTGAAGTTGCAATTTCAGAATATTTTCTTTTCCTTGATACCCACTGTGTTGGTATAAAATTTTTTTGTATCACTAAAAAGGGAAAGAGTACAGGAACTCAGGTGAAAAAAACAGAAGTGGGGATGAAGTTGAGGGCACTTTCCTGCCAAAGCTGCCTTGTCATACCAAGATCTAAAACCAAAATGTTAAGAGAGCCAGCAGCATCTGTAGCTTCTTAGAAATTCAGACTCTCAGCCCCCTCACCCCCAAGACTACCAGACTAGCAATATTTTCAGGTGGCCTGTGTGTTCAGTATAGTTCGAGCAGCACTACTCTGAAGAGTCCATTCTTGTAATTTTTGCTTAGCATCGACATAAATTTTTCACATCCCCCCATCTCCCCGCTCAGAGACATGTTCAGAGTCACACTAAATACGGGAATGACTTGTTTATTGGTAGGGTTTTCTTAAAGCTTTATAAAACAGGAACATATTGAGCATATTATATAAATCTAGCATCTACTCCCTGATCTTTAAATCTTAGCATGACATAGTACAAAAGTAGAATGTCAGGCAGTTGGAAATTAGGTACTTGCCCATTCACTCTTTTTTTCTTTTGATAATCCCCTCATTTTGTTTGTCCTGAGAATAAAGAATTAAATCCTCACAAAGAGTAATGTATTAGGTGTAGAGGTGATAGGAATGATTGCCATCCAGTCCAAACTTAAGAGAGTCTTACTCTGTCCTCCTGGGTTGGGGGAGCTCTCTAAGTTCCTTCTGCCTGTATGTCGGTGCCCTCCTGGCATGGATGTCCTCAACACAAGGGTTTTGCTTGCCAGCACGCCACACTCTGTACTTCCCTACCCCTGTACTAGCAACTTAGTTTTTTTTTTTTTTAATTTACTTATTTATGTATACAGAACTGGGGTACAGGCCAGAGGTGCAGGGACAGTAAGAGGATTCTCCAGAGACAGAGTGGGGAGCAGAACAGGCAAATGGAGGAAGTACACTGCTGAGGGGAGCAGTGGGCAGGCCAGGAGAGGTCTGCTGCACCATGTGGGTCACCTCTGCAGCAGGGATTGAACTCATGCTGAAGTGGCTTTAGCTTCTAAGTGTTGTGCTTTAACCTGCTGCGCCACCAGGGAGGGCCTGCAACTTAATTTTTGTAGAACCTTCTCAATGGATTTAGTAAGGCTAAAAATCAGTGGTTTTATTTGTATTTTAATTATTACTGATTAATAACATTCCTAGTTCCATCATTGTCTCTGAGTTGATTTCGGGATAGAGATTACTCTCACAAACGATGTTTCTTTAGAAGGAAGACAAAAGAGTGAAGATAGGCATACGTCTCTGTCAGCATCTCACAACTTCATACCAGACCTTCATTATCAAACTGAAACAAGTAATCAGGGTCAGAATTAGTAATCTCAAGATCTGTTCTGCGATTGGCCTTTAAGGTCTTTGCTTATTAATTCAGGAATAACCAGAGTTATGCTGGCTCAACCAATACTCTGAAAGCCTTGTTACAAGACACAAAATTTTAATGAAAAGAATTTGGGCAGAAGTTCTTTGCCTTATAAATAAAAGATGCAATCTTTGTGTTTGCTATAAATCTGATCTGTTTCTGTGGAAAATTGGGCCCTTATAAAAATGGTATCAGCAGAAAGGGAAATGGGGAGGTAATGACTTGGTGTCATTTATCAAATCTGCATTTACTTTTGGCACAGTTGATGCTAAGAATCTCTGAAACATTTTTCGTGCTCTGCGCCTTACTTTACCTCACTGTCTGCTGCCATGTTTTCTGCATCCTTACAATAAAATAGAAGTATTAATCATCAGCTGTTTAGAAAAGGGGAAGGAGAGGGAAAAAATAGAAACATCAAATGAAATTTGGGTTTGAACAGAAGCAATTACGTAGCAATTTATTGCTAAACTCTCCCAAAATGGATCAGAATACAGCTGATGTGCTAAAATGAAATCTGTGATGTAATAAGCATAATCTTTCCTAGCAGAACTCAAATCACAGGGCCTCACGTTTGCAAAGAGGTTCAAAATACCCTCTTCTCACCACCTCTGCTCCAGACAAGTAGAGTGCCACTTTAACAAGAGCAAGGGCCTTTCAAGAGAAAACACAAAAACTGTTACTTTTTGGAGGTAACCAGCAATTCTCTGCACAATTATCACAGCATGTTTTTTTATATTAAAGTCAATTCTATTTTTCATGTGTTTTTAGATTTATTCCTCTGTGCTAGGCACAGACTGGTATAGCACTACCAAGTCAGACACTGTCCACTGCCTCTGGATTCATAAGCTAGCAGGGCTAACTTAACTTCACAGTAGAAATAGGGATGGCGCATGACAGAGAATGGGTCCTGTAAAAAAACAGTGATCAGGAACTCACAATCCAGAGGCCAGAGAAGGCCTCTGAGGAAGTGATATTTCCTAAAGGATGAGGAGTAGTTAACCAGGCCAACTTCATTCTTCCCTCTTGGGGCCAGGAAGGACAGACTTAGAGCCTTTCTAAATGACAGTCTCCCAGGTATTTGAAGATATTTGAAGCTTTTTGTCTGTCCAATTTTGTTACATGCTAATATGTCCAAGTTCTGTTGCTATTCTTTATTTGACAGAGCCTTAAAGAGATCCACCATTTTAATATTATACTTTTATATATCACCTAAAAGCAAAATTCTAGATGATACCTAAATGGCTTTGAATAAAATGAGACCATCATCTCTACTGATGCAGCTAAACATGTTAACTCTTAGTAACATATTATGGACATTCAGTGTCTTCATTGCCAATTAAACAATTTTTAAAGATTTATTTATTTATGCATACAGAACTGGGATACAAGTCAGAGGTGCAGGGGCAATGAGAGGGTTCACCAGAGAGAGAGAGGGGAGCAGAACAGGCAGATTGATGAGGTACAATGCTGAGGGGAGCAGCAGGTGGGTCAGGAGAGGTCTGATGTGCCATGTGGGTCACCTCAGGGGCTGGGAATCAAACTCACACTTAAACAACTGTCGCCAGCTTGCAGTGCTGTGTCTTAACCCGTTGTTAGGCCCACCAGGGAGGGCCTGCCAGTTAAAATTTTTAATAAAAGTATTTTATTCTTTTTTCCTTTGTTCTTTTTAAGACATATCTCGCAAGTTTTTTTTTTTCCTCCCCCACTAAGTACTTTTGGACTCTAGTGTAAAGTCATACATTTATTCCTTTTAAAAGGAATTTTATCACTTTATTAGGTCTATTCTTGCAGGTTCTCAGGACCTTTTGCAAATCTAAATGTTGACTCTGAACTAATGTGCTTTCTCTAAATATGTTAAGTTTGACCAATGATTTTTATGATTTCATTAAAACCCTGTTCCACAGGACCAGGAAACATGTTTTTCACTCTCCATTAATGACCTCCACTGAGGTATAACTGGGACACTGATAAACAATTAACCAATTACAGTCTTTCTAATTATGTTGTTACCTATCAGTGTATGTTTGTGTGTAACTTTGAAAGTGAGTGATATTGCGTGTTAGATGCACAGTTTCTTTAAAAATTACATAACTTTTTTGGCCTGACTTGGTCTGCTAGTAGAAAAAAATAGCATTTCATAAATTGTTTGTTTGCGATCACTGTCAATTTATTTCTTGTATATTTGGAGACCAAGATCAAGGTGCTAGTGTGGTCAGTGTCTGGTGAGAGCCACCTCTGGCTTGCAGGCTGTCAACCCTTCCTTATTATGTTACAGTTTAGTGAGACTGAGAGATTGAGCTTGCTGGCTGGCCTCCTTACTCATGAC